TATAAATAATAGTTTTTATATATAGTTAATTTTTATGTGACAAATAAACGGAATTATCTTTGTTAGAATATCATAGAATAAGAAATTGGTTTGGAGAATTAGGTAGCAATAAGAAGAAACATAAGGAAAAATACGATATTATGATATAATTAAATACAATTAAGGAATATACTACGGAAGTTGCGGGGAAAGAAGGAAAAAGAATAGATCAAGAGCAAGGACGGAGATAAATTTAAGGATGTGAGATAAGAAAGGAAAACAGGATTAAAAGTAAAAAGGTGTAGGTATGGAGAAGAAGAATAAAACGTCTGAAATTTTTTATATAAGAAATAGATAGTAAGCAATAAGACATAATAAATAAAAAAAAAGTAAAGAAGATAAGTAAATATAAACGCGGCTGTAATAGATAGAAGTAAAAAATATTTTGTATTACGACATGTAAGTATTGTGATCTACATAGTTTTTCGAAGAAAATAAAAGACAAATCTGCAAATTTTAGGGCTTTGTTCCTACATTGTTTTCAAACCAGTTTGTGACTGTCACGAATTTGTGCATTATAAAATTTTATTGACATAATCAAATTGAGACAATGCGCAGTTTTATGATAGTTTGAAACTAGTTCGCCTGTATTGGAACAAACCCCTTGATCTGAAATAATAAAAGGTTCGAAATAACAAAACATGAAAACAACTCTATATTAGAATAAGTTTCATTTAAAAAATTAAGAAATATAATTAACAAAAATAAATTGTGTTTAGATGCATATAAAGCTGTAAAGTATTTTCTGTAAAAATTAATATTGGAGCGCTAGTTAGAAAGGAATTTCCCGTAATGTCAGAATAAAGGATAGTAAAGGACAATATTGGAAAATAGTGGACAAAATTAAGTATTGAAAAATTAAATAAATTTAAAAGATAACTAAATAAAGGACTGTTTTTTATACATAACACAATAAAGGGCGTATGGTTACCATACATATAGAACGTGTTTGCTAGATTTTTGTTTAGTCAAATAATTATAAGGGACAGATGGATGCGTGTGTAAAGTAAATTATAAACCAAATTCTTTATGTAAACCAAAATATAAATTATTCTGTTGTCGTCTTCATTATTTTGCTTGTTCAACATCGATACTGACATTCATTTTATTGTAATAAAATGTACTTACTAATTTATCTTTTGCATTAAAAAATCATATTGTTAATCTATCAATCTATTAAAATTTTTTATTAAATACTGTAATTATAAAAATCTAATTATTCCACTAATAATCTTTGCTTTACTTTTTTATATTATATTTTATATTATAGTTTTTTAATACACTGCACGCAATCTATCGCCGACTTCGCGAACTTCTTCATGAGTTTATCAATAGAATGTAAACCGTGAATAAAGATGTAAAATAAGAATAAAAAGTAGCGTTTTAGTTGTATGAAATCAATTTTTGGCCGCGTTAAAGTTCAAAATAATTGGCTTAGTTCAGCAGAGAAAGCAGCGTTTTGCAATTGTTAAAATTCTTCAATATAATTGGTTTTTGTTTTTGATTATGAATCCAGATGTATAAATTAACCATATTGAAGAATTTTACAATTGTTGTAAAGCTGCTTTTTCTGCTGAACGTAGTCAATGCTGTAAGTCTTACAGCGTAAATGCCAATAAATATTAAAAATCCATATTAAAAAATTTGACATTTATTTTCGTTAAATAAATTACGTCAAAAACTTACTATTGATACATTAAACGTGATATTTAATCAATAATATTAGAGACGGACAAAGAATTAATGCAACATACAGGAAAGATTTTTTATTCCTGTATTTTTTGGTGAAAAAATTTTGCTGAAATTATTCCATGTTTTGAAACATTTCAACAAAATCGCTGACAATTTATTGAATGAAATTTACTGATTTCAGTGAAAACAAATTTTTTCAGCTAACACAATGAAAAATCATTGAAATTTTTTTGAAATTCTGTTAAAAATAAATTTTTTGGTCAAAAATCGCTGAAATTAAATTTTTTAAATTTTTTTTGAAATGGTAATTTCGCTGAAGTGTTCCAAAACATGAAATAATTTCAGCAAAATTATTTCACGCTCTCTTGAATTCTTCTCGCTTTCGGCAAGTATCAAACCTCTACCTCTATCTCACTTTAACTTTCAAAAGTGTACACTTCAGCCACAGAAAGTAAATCTTAAGAAATCGTCAAGTTTCGATTCAAATATACCTTTACAAGAAAACTACAGCGACGAGACGATATACGACAAAAGTGTCAATGCATGACATATAATATTGTCTAAATATATACCTCATTCAAAGATTTATAATATAAACAGATAATACAAAATAATACTCTAAAATCCACGGGATAAGCTCGAACCGAGAAACTCGAGAACAAAATTCGGAAAATTTTACATTATAACTCGAATTATAATTTTAATTAAATTAAAATCGACCACAAGCATAATATTTCTGTATGCTCCATTTCTAATTTTGGCGCTAAACGGCGATGTTATTAAAATTAAACGACGCAAAAGGATCGAACACAAGTAAGCAAACTGGAGTAAACTGTCTCGTCGTGTGCGTATTGTCATTTAAATAAAGCAACTGACGCACGACGCTAATAAAAGCTGACGAGACACGCGCTCTCCGCTGACGGACGAAATTCGTCCCCTAAGATCGAACCTACCGACGACGAGTGGTGCAGGAAGGATGTTTTCTCGGTTTCGCCGGCTCGAACGAGCGAAAGACATACGAATAATGGCGGGTACTCACTTGCTAGATTTACGGCAGCTATCGGCGAGGCCTTGGTACGTGTTGGTCGACGTCATCTCGGAGGCGAGCTCAAACTCCCGTATAAAGGACAGACAACGAAGATTCGTTAAGAATTTGCGGCACTACCGACCGAACTCTGCCGGATGAGCCAGGACTCTTCCCCCCAGCCGTTCGGAAATCAAATGCTGTCGCGACGCGCGATTGGACGCCCGCGCTGCGATCGCGAATGACGTCACGCCACTAGTGAGTCAATGCAGCGGCTAATCACGAGCACCTGCAAGCCGAGCGTCCAGCAAAACTCATGGATTTCTTCACATGGATTGTTGTGTTTGAAATTTTCAATAAGTTTGCACTTAAAACAAGAGAAAAGTATGTCGAGTGTTAAAAGAGAGAAAGCGAAGATGCTGAGTACGAACAGTGCAAGCGGAAAACCTACATTAATTTCAGCAGTTTATTTAAAAAATGATGTACTAAATTGGTACAATATGCATCAAAATGATTAATTAAATACTCATATATACGTGGTTTCACAGAAATTAAAATAATTCAATAGAAAGTTACTAGGTACTACTCGTATCAAGTACACGATGTAAACTAGGCCATAATGATAATCTAAACGCATGAAATGCATTTTGGAGGGAATCTGTTTTACAATCTTTAATTGTTTGATTCTCTGCTACATACTATAGTATGTTACGTGTGAACAAACCTTATGATTATGGCTACGATCGAGTTGTCACTACGAATGCTTTGAAGCGTTTCTTGATTGGTCAGTTTGTGTAACTCTTTCTTTTGATTGGTCAATCAAACGCTTCAAAGCATTCGTAACTCGACCGCACCCAAAGTGTGCTATATGGGTATAATTCATGTTACGTATACTATAGCAAAAATATTCACCAAGCTGCATTCTGTTATTCACTGCATGAACTGAAAATTTATAAGTTCACATTATGTATACTATAGATTTTCAGTACTTGCAGTGAATAACGGAACGCAGTTCAGAGTTATCTTGGCATAATTCCTAAACTTTTTGTCCAACTGTACAATTTTATTTTATTTTTTTACTTCATTTATTATTTCAACACAGTCAGTTTGACACTAAATTCTATTGAAGTTTCGTTTTCTGCGTTATAATGAATTGTATTTTATTTCTATTCGTTATGCGATTATTTGTTATACTGTATTATCATAATCCTATTCTTTATTTTCATGTGATAAGTATAACTATTTTATAATACTAAAAATTGTTGCGTTACATCATTTTTAGAAGTTTTATAATTATTTTATTATGTGCGTTGCGATATTTATAATTATAATATATCTAATACAACATTGTTTGAATAAATTATTTTTCAAATATATATATATTTTTTATTTACTTCTTAATTTAACATTGTTAAAAATGATGTTTAATTATTTTTTATTAAAAATTATATTTAATAATGATTTTTAATTGTTTTCATCTGAAAAAGTAATGATGCTATTCATTTGACAGTATTATTTTTCCACATAAAATATTTAAAAATCATTAATGTATAATTTTCAATCAAAAATAAATAATAATAATTAATAAAAATAAATAACATTACGATTGCGCGCGTGTGTGCGTGCATGTGCCGCGAGGGCGTGTATGGTGCGCGCGCGTGTTCAGTTATGTTAGGTTGGGTGCATGTTGCGTGCGCCATCTGCTATTTCTGCTGTGTACTATAGCCTAATTATTAAAAATTATATTTAATAATGATTTTTAATTGTTTTCAACTGAAAAAGTAATGATGCTATTCATTTGACAGTATTATTTTTCCACATAAAATATTTAAAAATCATTAATGTATAATTTTCAATCAAAAATAAATAATAATAATTAATAAAAATAAATAACATTACGATTGCGCGCGTGTGTGCGTGCATGTGCCGCGAGGGCGTGTATGGTGCGCGCGCGTGTTCAGTTATGTTAGGTTGGGTGCATGTTGCGTGCGTCATCTGCTATTTCTGCTGTGTACTATAGCCTAAAATAGGTCTGTTCGCGTTGCATGAAATCCCCAAATAATTTTGCACTTAAAGTGAGATAGATGTATATTCGGCTTTAAAAGAAAGAAAGCGAAGATGGTAAGTGCAAAAAGTGCAAGCAACGCGAACAGACCTAATGAGCGTCGTTTCTTAACATGAGCAAAGACCTATACTGTGACATGGGTTGCATGGGTTGTATATGGAGCCTTCCATTCTTCTTCTCCCTATTCCTTGTTGAAGGGTGAAAAGAACGCGATGTTAAATCAGGCGGTGGTCGAAGCACTTTATTCGGCGACCTACATCGAAAACTATTTGGATTGCGTGGAAAATTTACCAAACGACCTGCAGAGGCACGTCTCCCGACTTCGTGAGCTGGATGCCACTTGTCAAAGTAAGTTTGATCAAGATCATTTGTGAAATGATTTTTATAAAGAAACAAAATTTTGTGAATTAAATTTACAAAATGACATATCTCTCGACCCGTTATATGAAAGTTTATTCACAGAAACATAGCACTTCCTTATTTTTTTTATTTCTTTCTTATCTATTTATCCTTTTCCGACTTTTGTTTTTTTTTTATTATTATTTTCAAACATAAAATTAATATAACCTACCTTTGTTTCAAGTTGTGTACTTTAAAAAACAACAATTTCATAAAATAAGCATAATACCACACACAAGTTCTTCTTTGTGATAAATTATTATAAAGTAAATAATTTAGTCATATCCCCATAACATAAAATCTATAAACGTTTCGGTCAATAATATAACCATCTTCAGTATAAAATTAAAGTTATATAAAATAAACTAACCTAAATTACATTTGTCAGTTATTCGCTTACAACAACCACAATGCGATCTTATTCTTCTTGGTTCTTTCTTCATAATTATAGTTTACAACCAATGTACGTTAGTTTGTGTCCTCGTGATAAAATTTAGTCAGAATTATACAATTTTGACAAAACATAGTTGCCAGACTGTATAATTAAACGTAATCTTATAGTAACAAATTTAAGAGAGTAATACAAATCTTTATAAATGAATATAATTTAATTTACCTATATTTCGTGTAAAATAGTAGTCAATTTTTAATGTATGGGTAAAAAGTGGAGCGTCGGTGAAAATTGTGTATTTTGTTTTTACTTCTGACTTTGGTAAGAGTTAAATGTCTCATTACTGTTTGTGTTAGTCCGAACTGTCAACTTTGTTTCAATCTTTTCTGTCATATAAGTTATGAAAAATTCTATAAATTAAGTATCGAACGATTAATTTTACAACTATGTTCTTTATAATACAGTAAATATACCAGTTTGATCTGGCAAAATATCCAATTGTAACTCAGATCTTTTTTGAATCGATACGACATGTAAGTGACATAAATTATTTGAGATTTGCTTGTTTAAAAGAATTTAGAAGAATAATCCATATCAGCAACAGTATTGAAATCTGTGAGGAAACCCTTTAATTGTGAGAAAGAAAAAGTTGTATTGCATTTTTTTTGTGACTTTGATGATTTTTTTAAGATTAAATTATTATTAAAACAGTCTAAATCGAGCTAAATAAATATTATAATAATAATTATTATAACTTACTCAAATGTCTTAGTTGATATAGCTTGAACTATATTCTGTCTACTGACTATTGTCAGTATCATTAAACAATCAATGAAAACTCCTTTTTTTCGTAGAATAGTTCTTGGTTATCAACACTGACAACTATTGATAGATGTTTGCAAAATATGGGTCCTGTTTATTGTCTTGGTAATTTTATTTTATAGCATATCTACACGAAGTGGATCAGCAACAAGAGTTGTTTCGAAATGACACAGATCCTATAAATAAAAGAAGAGCATTGATGAAAATACAGCAAGCTCTAATCGCAGCACAGGAAATAGGAGACGAGAAATTACAGATTGTTCAGCAAGTGCAAGATCTCATAGAAAATAAATCTAAGCAATTAGAAGTGGATTATCGAAATTCAGGTATGATATTTTGGAAATTTCTGAAATTAATAAATTAGTGTAAAGATTAATTGATTCTAAATATCAATATCTGCTTTATCTCACAGACTTTGGAAAAGAACAAGAAAGCTCAGAATCAGTCCGTGAATCAAATATAAACAACAATTCGAATAATGCAAGCCATGCAAACAACTCGGAACGTCAGCCAAAACGTGCCAGAAGAACACGAACAGAAACCTTGATAGAATCGGCTCATTCCATGGATATGATGGTTGGAATGACGGAAACAAGATCTTCGACATTATCCAATACAACCAATGGAAATCAGAAAAAGACAGCAGCGACAGCTACTGGTAAAAAGAAGAAGCGAAAATCTCGACAAGGCAATCAACAAAACCAGCATCGTGAGGATACACCGCCGCCACCAGAGGATGATCTTGCTATAGACCCTGATGAGCCGACTTATTGTTTGTGCGATCAAATATCATATGGCGAAATGATCCTTTGCGACAATGACCTATGTCCCATAGAATGGTTTCATTTCTCCTGTGTTTCTTTAACGACGAAACCTAAGGGTAAATGGTTTTGTCCCAAATGTCGCGGTGATAGACCTAACGTCATGAAACCCAAAGCGCAATTCCTTAAAGAACTAGAAAGATACAATAAAGAAAAAGAGGAGAAGTCATAACAAGAATATTGAAATGAGCTCCAATCCAGAGTTTTGTAGGATAGTTTTAATTTCGACTGTAGATTAGAATTTAAATTGTAGTATAATCTATCAAAATCTTGAGTTATATTTTCTGGTTTTTTCTTTGTGAAATTATAACTTTTAATTGTAGAATTATAATCAAAGGGATATATTTTTTGTTTAAATTATAAAAAAAATTAATAAGAGAGTATATATATATATATATAAATATTTACGAATGTACGTGGGCGCGTAAAATACACATATGCGCGCGTGTTTATATGTATATATTATATATATATATATATATA